GAGGGGATTAGAGACTGCAGGGTGTCACACACTCGGAGAGAAACAGGATTTACCAGGAGAGAGGCGGCGACCCTGGGACTCCGGAGTTAGCGAACAGACCAGCCAGGAACTGCTGCACAATTCTGGAGACAAGGAGAGAGAGGATACTGATCTTACTGACATGTCTACAGTGAAAGCAACACAGAGACAGATATCTACAGAAAGGAGGAGGAACTGTGGATTTGGCAGAAATGCTAGCATCCCACCCTGTCCCTCTGGAGTCCACCCACTCAGGGGCAAAACACCAGCATCCCACCTCCAGTACCCGGTGGTGTCTACAGCACTACTAGACTGACTGCAGGGTTACAGAAGGTGGTAATACAGGATTAAATGTTATTAATTAAGCTGCGATTTCCTCCTGTTAAGCCTCTTCTCCTCCTGCTCCGACCTGGGACCTGGGAAGAGAGGAGCGGACAGAGACAGAGAGCACGGTGCCGAGGACAGCCCCTCACCCCTCCACGGCGGGCGAGCGGTCGGGCCGGCTGCTGCCCCGGGCCCGGTACCGGCGCTGGCTGTGCAGGCGGTGGGGCCTCCCGGGGCCCCAGGGATCGGTGCTGCCCGGCCGCTCAGGCCCCTCCTGGCTGTCCTGCTCCAGTGAGAAGGGCCGCTCGACGAACAGCAGGTGCCAGAGCTGGGGGACAGAGGAGAGCCAGGGGAGAGAGTCAGGTCACAGAGTTCATGAGCGCGCACACACACGCGCGCACGCGCGCACACGCACTGGAGACAGAGGAGAGCGAGGGGAGAGAGAGTCAGGTCAGTGTTCATGAGCGCACACGCGCGCGCACACACGCGCACACACACGCGCACACACACGCGCACACACACGCGCACACACACGCGCACACACACGCGCACACACACGCGCACACACACTGGAGACAGAGGAGAGCGAGGGGAGAGAGTCAGGTCACAGAGTTCATGAGCGCGCACACACTGGAGACAGAGGAGAGTGAGGGGAGAGAGTCAGGTCACAGTGTTCATGAGCGCACACACGCGCGCACACACACTGGAGACAGAGGAGA